AAAAAAAAAGAAAAAAAAAAAAAAAAAAAAAAAAAAAAAAAAAAAAAAAACGAAGGAGAAGCTATTCACTCGCCTGCATGCACAAGTCTTGACGATTCCTATAGTATCGAATTTCGTTTCCTTTATGCCTTCATCCTCTTCTAACTTTGTTTAATTTAAGTGAAAATGTGAGAATAAGGTTTTTATAAACCTTAATTTTATTGAGTTCTAAAGGTCAATTTAATATTAACGAATTGCAGGCTAAGTTTAGAGACGGAAAATATTTTTTCAGCCTTAATTATGGAGTTAAAAAATTTATTGGCAATTTTTTTTAAATGCATATAAATTGTTTTGTGACTAATTCTAATTTTTCTTATGGTGATATTGTTTCAATCTTAAATATTGTACCAGTATATACGTTGTTATTTAATGATAATAATGTAATCTTTCATACTAAAAATATATTATCTAATATAGTTTTTATTTCCGATATATGTACATTTAATTAATAAATTATAAATTAATTGATATGACGATTACTCACTAACATTAGGGAGAAAGATATTGTGTTCTGAAATATAAATGGAATAACAATAATCTTTTTGTATATATTAATTTGAATGAAGTGTGACTTTATTCAACAAGGAAAGATGGAGAAGAGCCCATTTTAACATTTTTTTTTAAATTTTGTTTATAACTTTAGAAATTCGAGACTTATCAAAAACATTTTTCTTTCTAGTTTATACAAACTTAACTTTGTAAAAAACTTTGCCAACTATATTCTCACAGAACAGTTATACGTGTCTCCTATTTATGATCTCTCTTTTCCACTTATTAAATTTTTTCTTAATACTTCTCTCTCTTAATCACCATTAACTTCTTAATCACAATTAACTTTAATGGGGATGGTGAAAAAAAAAACTAATGAGGATATTTTAGTTTTCGTTTCCACAGCGAAGGATATTTCAGTTAAGACAAAAATATGTATAATGGTGAAAATATTGCAATTTGTGTATTTAAACCATTAATAATTAGTTATATATATATATATATATATATATATCTCTATTTTATTATTTAATAAAAATATTAATGACTATTATATAATAGTCACTAAAGATGTATTTACATCACATCAAAATTTACTATTAACAACAATTATTTGTTAGAAGAAACTTAAGTCCCACATTGACTATAAATAAAATAATTAAAGAGTATATAAGTGAATGATAACTCTCACCTTATAAGTATGTTTTATAAGGTTGAGTTAGACCTATAACTTACTATTCTAAATTGATATTTAGGGGATAAATAATTAAAAAATTAAAGAATATATACTTAGAAGGTAACCTTCATCTTCTAAGTCTCACATCAATTAGAAATAAGGTAACTAAAGAGTATTTGTACTCATCTTACAAGTCCTACATCGACTAGAAATAAGATAATTAAAGAGTATTATAAATCTTTTCTTAAACTTTTAGGGCAATTTTAAATGTTAGTAACAAATGACACAAAAAGTTATATACTTTTCCCGACCATTATGAGAGTATTTACCAACATATAGAATTATTGTCGGTAAATATTTTAGCGACACCGCATACAATGGCTAATGTGTGAAATGCCAGAAAAAATTTTATAGCAATTTTTATTGTCACTAAAAATCATATTCCACTAAAAGTTCATTTTATTGTAGTGATATATATATATATATATATATATATATATATAT